GGTTTGGGGTCACGAGGGAGGGTTTGGGTTCCCTAAGAAGGATTTGGGGTCCCCAGGGAGGGTTTGGGGTTCCTAAGAAGGGTTTGGGATCCTTAAGGAGGATTTTGTGTCCCCGGGGAGGGTTTGGGCTCCCTAAGGAGGGTTTGGGGTCTCCAGGGAGGGTTTGGGATCCCAGAGATGGTTTGGGGTTCCTAAGAAGGGTTTGGGATCTTTAAGGAGGGTTTTGTGTCCCCAGGGAGGGTTTGGTGTCCCCAAGGAGGGTTTAGGATTCCTAGGGAGGGTTTGGTGTCCCCAAAGAGGATCTGGGGTCCCCAAAGGGGGGTTTGGGGTCCCCAGGGTTGCCGCTCCAACCCCCAGCCTGCACTTCCAGGTTCGATTTTCCAGAGCAGGAGCCACCTCCCTGAGGAGCACAAGGACTGTCCCCAGGGTGGCCAGAGGAGCAGGTGACAGGCGACTTTGGCCAGGGGAACACTCAGGAGTGAGGTCCCCGTGCCCTGCAACGCAGCTTTGGGCACTCAAAACCCACCCTGGTGCCTCCAGCTCCTGGTGACACCCGTTTGGGGACACATTTTGGCACCCAGGAAGGGCTTTGGCCACGCTGCAGGCAGGGTGACAGTGTTCAAACACAAATTTCCTTTCGCTGACTCTTTTTTTATCACTCCCAGCACCATCAAGACTTCCTACATCTCATCTAGGTAGAGCCAGGAGAGTAAAAAATCCAAAATTCATCAATTTTGAGGGCTTTTCTGAGCAGGACCCAGCTCGAGCTCAGCTTTTAGGGATGAGAACAACAACAAAGTGCCCACATTTTTTATCCAGAGCAAAGGAACAGCTGAGAAATCCCAAATGCACCCCCTGACCCCACGGAGGAGCCCCCCCAGAGCTCTTCACGCCCCTCCAGCAGTGCCAGGAGCTGTTTTTTCCTCCCGGGCTGAGGAGGGAGGTGCTGCTTTTGTGCCTTTTTTTCTTACAGCCCCAAGCCACAGCGTAATTTCCACCGAGCTGCAGCAGCAGCCGTTTCACCTGCACCAGGGCCACGAGAAAAAAAACCAAGAAAAAACAACAAAAAACCCAAAAAAACGGGCGTTTGAAGTCAGTTTTGTGAGGGAGGTGCTGCTTTTGTGCCTTTTTTTCTTACAGCCCCAAGCCACAGAGTAATTTCCACCGAGCTGCAGCAGCAGCCGTTTCACCTGCACCAGGGCCACGAGAAAAAAAAAAACAAAAAAAACCAACAAAAACCCCAAAAAAACGGGTGTTTGAAGTCAGTTTTGTTGGGTTTTTTTGGGTTTGTTTTTTTTTTTTGGTGGCTGCATCTGTGCAAACCGAATTTCTTTGTGCCAAAGGGGTCTGGCAGGGAGGTGCCCCCCGAGCGTGTTCAGGTGTTTTTGCCAGGTGTGTGCCCCTCTTTTTGGGGTTTTTCTCTCTGGATTTGGGCTCCATGTCCTGCCCCGTGCTGTCCCTTCCGCCCACGTGGCCCTGGGCAGGTCCTGCTGGTTTGTCACTCTGACCCCGTGCCTGGTGTCACCCTGAGCCAGCTGTGAGGCAGCTGTGAGCCCCTGGATGGGCACACAGAGCTGGCACAGCATGGCAGTGTCACCAGGGCCGGTGTCCCCAGGGCAGGGAGGGGCTGGCACCGAGCCAGCACCAAAAATGGGAATTTCTGAGTGCTTGAAACACCAAATTCGGCACAAAAAAATGGAAATTTCTGAGCTCCTGAAGCCCCAAATTTGGTACCAAAAATGGGAATATCTGAGCGCCTGAAGCCTCAAATTTGGTACCAAAAATGGAAATTTCTGAGTGCTTGAAACACCAATTTGGGCACAAAAAATGGGAATTTCTGAGCGCCTGAAGCCTCAAATTTGGTACCAAAAATAGGAATTTCTGAGTGCCCGAAGCCCCAGTTTGGGCACCAAAAATGGGAATTTCTGACTGCCTGAAACCCCAAATTCGGCACAAAAAATGGAAATTTCTGAGCTCCTGAAGCCCCAAATTTGGTACCAAAAATGGGAATATCTGAGCGCCTGAAGCCTCAAATTTGGCACCAAAAATGGGAATTTCTGAGCTCCTGAAGCACCAAATTGGGCACCAAAAATGGGAATTTCCTCAAATTTGGCACCAAAAATGGGAATTTATGAGCTCCTGAAGCACCAAATTGGGCACCAAAAATGGGAATTTCTGAGCGCCTGAAGCCCCAAATTTGGTACCAAAAATGGAAATTTCTGAGTGCCCGAAGCCCCAAATGCAACACCAAAAATGGGAATTTCTGAGCACTTGAAGCTCCAAATTGAGCACCAAAAAAGGGAATTTCTGAGCTCCTGAAGCCCCAACCTGGACACCAACCTTGAGAGACTGGCACAGAGCTGCTGCCTGTCCCTCGGGCACAGCCCTGGGGACAGAACTGCTGTGCCCTGGGGACAAAACTCCTGCTGTGCCCGGGAAATGCAGGTCTGGGGGGAGCCCTGCGAGGGCACCACCACTGCCACCCCTGGCAGGACCCCCAGGCGGGCAGGGGACATCGGGACAGCGCCTGTCCCCCCCCCCGGGAGACCACAGAGGGATGGAGAGCCCAGCCTGGCTCCCCCATCCCCCCCAAAACTACCCCAAACCCCCTTTCCATCCCTCCGAGGGGCGTTCGGAGAGGGCAGCTCACCCCTCCCCACCCCACGGGTGCCCCCCGAGCCCCCCCCGGCTGCTGGGACCCCTCCCTGGCTCTCACCTGCGGGCAGGGCGCTGAGGAGGGGCCGCTCTCACAGGGCCATGTCCCGCTGGGGCCGCGCCCGTCGCATCCTCCTCATCCTCGGCAGCCGGAGAGCAGCCCCCCGGGCCGGCTGGGGGGCGGGGAGGAGCCCCCCGAGCCTTGTGGGGTGCAGTGATGAGCCCCCCGAGATGGGTGCGGGGCAGAGAGGAGCCCCCCAAGCTTTTCAGGGTGCAGAGAGGAATCCTCCAAGCTTTTTAGGGTGCAGAGAGGAACCCCCAAGGTTTTTAGGGTGCAGAGAGGAACCCCCCAAGCCTTGTGGGATGCGAAGAGGAGCCCCCCAAGCCAAACGGGGTGCTGAGAGAAGCCCCCCAAGCCTTTTGGGGTGCGAAGCGGAGCCCCCGGGAGCCGGGTGCAGTGCAGAGAGGAGCACCCCAAGCTTTTCAGGGTGCAGAGCGGAGCCCTCTGGGCCTTTTGGGGCGCGGAGAGGAGCCCCCCGACACTTATGGGGTGCAAAGCGGAGCCCCCCAAGCCGAGTAAGGTGCGGAGAGGATCCCCCCGACCTTTGTGGGGTGCAGAGCGGAGCCCCCCAAGCCTTACGGGGTGCGGAGCAGAGACCCCCGAGCAGGGTGCGGTGCAGACAGGAGCCCCCCGGACCTTTTGGGGTGCAGAGCGAAGCCCCCCAAGCCGGGTGGGATGCGGAGCGGATCCCCCCGAACCTTTCGGGGTGTGGAGCCGAGCCCCCCGAACCTTTCGGGGTGCGGAGCCGAGCCCCCCGTTCCTTTCGGGGTGCGGAGCGGAGCCCCCCGGGCCGTGTGGGATGCGGAGCGGATCCCCCCGAACCTTTCGGGGTGCAGAGCGGAGCCCCCCGGGCCGGCTGCGCCGTCGCCGCCGCTGTCCCCGCCTCGCCCCGGTTTCCTGCCTCATGAGCAAACTCACGACGAGCCCGTTCTCAGCTCACCCCCGACCGCAAGAGCGAGTGACAAACCCCGATGGCTTCCTGCCACCGCGGGTCCCCGGGCGAGGGCACGCTGAGAGCCCCGGGGGCTGGCACCGGCTGTGCCCTGCGCTGTCCCCTCTGTGCCCTGCGCCAGCCTGGCACCCCCTGCTCCACCCCGGGGGCCCCTCCTGGCACTGCCACCCTTCTCCTTGCGTCCCCTGTGTGCCACAGGACACAGCCCGGAGCCCCCCTCGGGCTGTCACCGCCGTGTCACCGCGGTGCCACCGCAGCCTGGGCAGCCTGAGAGCCGCGGTGGCGGGGCAGCAGCGAGGGGACCCGCGGTGGCCCTGGGGGCTGGCAGCGCTGCTTTGGAGGAGGCTGAGAACCACAGCAGCATTGTGCTGGCTGCTTTGATCGAGAGAGAAGCCGCAGGCACAGGCAGGAAGCCCGGGGGTGACAGGAGGGGATGTGGCAGCTTGGGGGGCACATTCGGGCCCTCCTCGTGTCCTGGGAAGGAGAAACGGCCCCCAAAATGATCCCCACAGCTTCCCTGGCACTGCCTCACTCAGGGCTCTGTGGAAATCACATCCCCACGGGGCACCTGGAGTTGTCACCCGCCCAAAAAAAGGCCAGGAGTCACGTCTGGAGGCACAGACAGGGAAAAGCCACCAGCTGTCACCCTCAGCTCCTTTTATTGCACCTCAAAGGGCTGCTCCCCACAATTCCCACCGGGCTGAGCCCACCACCCTCAGGGCCAGGCCCCAAAACGCCTTGGGGGGATGGTGACACTCCTGTGCCCGTGGGTATGGTGATATTCCCGTGAGATGGTGACATTCCCGTGCCCGTAGGGATGGTGACACTCCCGTGTCCATGGAGAAGGTGACACTCCTGTGCCCATGGGGGAGATGGTGACACTCCTGTGCCCCATAGGGATGGTGACACTCCCGTGGGATGGTGACAATCTCGTGCCCATGGGGGAGATGGTGGCATTCCTGTGCCCCGTGCCCTGGGGATGGTGACACCCATGGGGATGGTGACAATCCTGTGAGATGGTGACATTCCCGTGCCCATGGAGATAGTGACATTCCCTTGCCCTGGGGATGGTGACACCCATGGGGATGGTGGCATTCCCGTGCCCCACAGGGATGGTGACATTCCCGTGCCCATGGAGATAGTGACATTCCCTTGCCCTGGGGATGGTGACACCCAGGGGGATGGTGACATTCCCGTGCCCCACAGGGATGGCGACATTCCCGTGAGGTGCCCATAGGGGGATGGCGACATTCCCGTGAGATGGCGACATTCCCGTGCCCTGAGCATGGTGACACCCACGTGGACGGCGCCACTCATAGGGATGGTGACACTCCCGTGGGATGGTGACAATCTCGTGCCTGTGGGGGAGATGGTGGCATTCCTGTGCCCCGTGCCCTGGGGATGGTGACACCCATGGGGATGGTGACAATCCTGTGAGATGGTGACATTCCCGTGCCCATGGAGATGGTGACATTCCCGTGCACTGAGGATGGTGACACCCACGTGGACGACGCCACTTCGTGCCACCGCAGTGTGGCATCACCCTGTGGGCAGCACGACCTGCCCCGAGCCCCGGGGGTCCCCAAAGAGCCGCGGTGTCCCCGGGGTGTCCCCGGGGTGTCCCCGCGGGCGGGCTCAGCACAGCGAGAAGCGGCGGGAGTTGATGTTCATGCGGGTGACTCCGATGTGCTTGAGCGGCGTGGAGAGCAGGAAGGCGGCCTTGGGGGGGATGGTGCACAGCAGATCCGAGTCTTCCTCGCAGCCCTCGAGGCCGAAGGTGGCGTCGTCCAGCATCTCCTTGTGCTGGTGGCACGCCTGCTCCACCTTGAGCCGGTGCAGCCGCGCCCGCAGCCGCATCAGCTGCTGCGCCAGCCGCTGGTCCAGGGCCTGCATCTCCCGCTGCGGGGACAGGGAATGCCGTGGAGCGGGATGTCACTGCCGCCCGGGCCGCGGGGATGGGCACAAACCCGGCCATGGGCCCGCGGTGCCACGCCGTGCCCCCCGCGCCACCCGCACAGCTCCGGTCGTGCCCCCCGTGCCACCCCCAGCGCAGAGGGAGGGGGTGACAAGCGACCCCGGGGCCCGCGGTGCCACTCCGTGCCCCCCGCGCCACCCGCACAGCTCTGGTCGTGCCCCCCCGTGCCACCCCCAGCGCAGCGGGAGGGGGTGACAAGAGACCCCGACACCGCAGAGCCACGAAAAATCTTGGGAATTTCGTGTAGAGCCAGCAGGGCGGGCAGAGGACGCCCCGCCACCCCGCCGTGCCCGGTGGGGTCGGGCACGGTGTCCCCAATCCCGCTCCGTGTCCCCGTCCTGAACTCACCAGCTCCGTCCTGAGCCACTCCAGAGCCGCCTCCACGGTGGCAAAGCCACAAACGCCACCGCCCTGCTGCTGCCGGGGGTGCCCGGGGCTCTGCTGTGCCCCCCAGCCCCTCACCCGCGCTTCCCACTCCAGGTACGAGGGTCTGCGCGTCTGCAGCTTCAGCTTGGCCGCCAGAGCCTTGACGCTCTCCAGGTTCTCCTCCTCCCAGGTCGGCTCCTCCTCGCCCAATTCCTTGAATTTCAGCTGGCTGAAAGCCATGTGGGACAAAGCAGAGCAGCACCAAAAGCCCCGCTGCTCTCTGCGCCCTCCACGGGGGAATGAAGCCCCCACCCTGCCCGCGACCACCCACCCACCCCTGCCCCGGCTGCGCCCGCTCCCGGCTCTTTATCCACCCCGAGGTCGATGGGCAGGAATTTCCTTATCCAGAGGAGTATTTTTGGCTTGTTGCGTTGGGGTTTTTTTTTGTTGGTTTTTGTTTTTTCCCTTTTATTTTCTTTTTTAACATCATTGTCTCCGCCTGGGAGGAGACAGCCCGTTCCCGGACGGAGCCTTCACCGGGCACGGAGGAGCTGGAATGATTTATCCCCGGGCTCAGCCGCCCCTCCCCGCTTCTTGGGGGGGCCCAAAAAAGCTCGAGGAAGGAAAAAGAAACGGGGGGGTGCCCGGGGGGGGCAGCCGGGGTCCCGCACCCGGACGGGACCTTAAGGTGGAGCCGCGTCCGGATCTGTCCTGTGCCACCTCCCCGCTGCCCGCGGGGCTCCAGGGACAGCCGAGGTGCCTCAGGGGTCTCACCTGCGACCCCCGCGTCTCACCTGCCCTCCCCCGTCCCCTCCAGCCCCCCCAGGGCAACCCCCAAATCCTCCGCGTGCTCCCCCCGCGCTGCTCTCCAGTCCCGCTGTCCCCTCGCGTGTCCCTTCCCGCGGTCCCCCCGGTGTCCCCTCGCTGTCGCAGCGCACGAAGAGACCCCCCCCGGCCCCAGCCCCCCGCCCCAGCCCCGGGCATCGCCGCCCCCTCCGGGCCGGGCCACCTTAAACCCGACATCCGCCGGCCGGGCCGGGCCGTGCGGGGCCATCGCCACCCCCCGCTTCCACCCCGAGGTGCCCGAACTGCCCCTCCCGCACCCCCAAATCCCCTTCCCGGCACCCCGAGCTCCCCCGCTGGCACCCGGGGTCCCCAATCCCCTCCTTGCACCCCGAGCTTCTTCCTTGTCCCCCGAGGTCCCCTGCTTGCACCCTAAAATTCCCGTTTGCACCCCAAAAAACCCTCTCCTTATGGCCAGCAGGTCCCTGTTGGCACTCTGAGGTCCCCTGCTCGCACTGTGCCTGTCCCCGAGGTCCCTGCCTGTCCCCCAGGTCCCTGCCTGTCCCCCCCAGGACCCCACCTGTCCCCCAGGTCCCCATCTGCCACCCAGCCCGAGCAGGTAAGCAGAGGGGTGGCCGGGCCAGGAGCACCGCCACCCCCTCCACCACCCTTCCTCCTCCTCCTCTTCCTCTCCTGCCCCGTCCGCAGCCCCGGGGGTGGCTTTGGGGACAGCAGAGCCCGCGGGGACGCTGCCAGCCGGGGCCGGTAACGGGGTGCAGCCCAGCGGGGCAGGGAAGGACCGGGAGCTGCTCCCCGCCATCCCATTCCCTCCCCAAAAAAATCCCCTCCGGCGCAGCGGAGACCACAGCCAGCTCCGTGCCTCAGTTTCCCCGCTGCCCGGCGGAGCCATGTGGCACTGCCGCGTGCGGGAGGTGACAATGTCAACACGGAGAGGGGACAGCGCGCCGCGTGACTCGCAGGGCAGGGGTTTCCGCAGGATTTCCCCTTTTTTTTTTTTTTTTCCCTCTCCTCCCTCCCCGGCCGGGCCGAGGCGGCGCCCATGGAGTTCTCGGAGCTGATCAAGACGGCGACAGTGGAGGACGTGCTGCTGTCGCGGCCGGGGGTGGCGGCGGTGCGGGGCACCCTGTGCATCACCAGCCACCACCTGCTGCTCTCCTCCTGCCCCCGCGGCGACCTGGAGCTCTGGCTGCTCATCCGCAACGTGGACGCCGTGGAGAAAAGGTGGGCTTGTCGCCAAGGCTGTCGCTGTCACCGTGCCCGAGCTGGAGGATGGCTCTCCTCTCCTCTCCTCTCCTCTCCTCTCCTCTCCTCTTCCTCTTATTCTTCCTCTCCTCTTCCTCTCCTCTTCCTCTCCCTCCTGGCGGGGCAGAGCGGGCACGGACTCCTCTCCTCCTCAGAGTGCAGAATTTAGGCTGCTACCAACCCCCCCGGAGCCGCAGCTCCCTGCGGGACACCGGGTTTGGCATTTCTGCCTCTCTGCCACCCTGCGGGACACCGGGTTTGGCATCTCTGCCTCTCTGCCACCCAGCCCGGCTGCGGTGGCGGATGGCAGAGCCTGAAGTCCGGCCCAGCCCCCGGGGGGAGAGGGCGGCTCGCTGCTGTCCCCTGTGTCCCCCAGCCAGCCCTGGCCCCCCTCCCGCAGGGTCTCGGGCTCCTCGGGCACCATCACGCTGCGCTGCAAGGACCTGCGGGTGCTGCAGCTGGAGATCCCGGGCACGGAGCGGTGCCTGAACGTCGCCAGCTCCATCGAGGTGAGCCCAAAGGCTTGGCCGAGAGGGGAAAAGCGCTGCCGTGTTTGCTCTGGGTCGGGCATTAACTGGGTAAACACGCGGCTCCGGCAGCGCCGGCACACGGGGACCGTGCCAGCTGCCCTGGCACACGGGGACAGTGCCAGCTGTCCTGGCACACGGGGACAGTGCCGGCTGCCCTGGCACACGGGGACAGTGCCAGCCGCGGTGTCCCCTAGCAGCCCCGCCGTTGATGTTTTGTGTGAGGAGGCTCCCGGGATGAGTGGGGAGAAGAGAATCTTGACTCCTGAAACATTCAGAATCTTCTGAATGTTTCAGAAGGCTGGTTTATTATATTATGATATATATCATTATTATATTATATTATATTATATTATATTATATTAATGATACATTAAACCTATACGAAAACAATAGAGAGAAAAGGATTCATCAGAAGGCTAGAAAGAACAAGAACGGAATGGAATAACAAAGGCTTGTGACACTCAAAGAGTCCGAGCCAGCTGACTGTGCTTGGCCATTAATTACAAACAATTAACATGCCCCAATCCCAGCTGCACCTGTTGCATCCCACAGCAGCAGACAATCATTGTTTACATTCCTTTCCTCAGCCTCCTCAGGAGAAAAAAAAAAAAAATCCCAGCAAATTATTTTTTCACGAAATACGTAAAACCGGCCTCGCAGGCGCTGTCCTCGGTGGACTCGGTGATGATGCTGTACCCGTTCTTCCACCGCCCGCCCAGCCTGCGGCTGCAGCAGGGCTGGCACCTGGCTGTCGCCGAGCGCCACCTCCAGCGGGTGGCCGCGCAGGTGAGCCCCGCCGGCCGGGAGCCGCCGCCTGCCCCGCGCCCCGCCGCTGATGTCGCCTGTCCCCCCAGACCAGCCAGTGGCGGCTGAGCACCGTGAACGGCGACTTCAGCGCCTGCCCCTCGTACCCGCGGGCCGTGCTGGTGCCCGCGGCCGTGGGCGATGAGGCCGTGGCCAGGGCGGCGAGGTTCCGGCAGGGCGGCCGCTTCCCCGTGCTCTGCTACTTCCACCCCAAAAACGGCACCGTGAGTCCCTCTGCCTTCTGCCCCTCTGCCCCTCTGCCTTCTGTCCCTCTGCCCCTCTGCCTTCTGTCCCTCTGTCCCTCTGCCCCCTGCCCCTCTGCCCCCTGTCCCTCTGTCTTCTGCCCCTCTGCCCCCTGTCCCTCTGCCAGCCTCACCCCCTGCCTCGCAGAACAGGGGGTTCCAGCTTCAGAGGATTCCAGAATCGGGTTGGAAGGGATGTTAAAGCTCATCCAATGCCACCCCTGCTGTCCCTGTTCCAAGCCCTGTCCTTCCCCGGATCCAGGGGCAGCCACGGCTGCTCTGGGAAAGCCATTCCAGCCTCTCCCAGGGAACAATTCCTAATTCCCAATATCCCACCCATCCCTGCCTTCTGCCATGAGAGCCATTCCCTGTGCCCTGTCCCTGCCCCTCTGCCCCCCGTCCCTCTGCCACCCTCACCCCCTGCCTTGCAGAACAGGGGGTTCCAGCTTCAGAGGATTCCAGAATCGGGTTGGAAGGGATGTTTTAAAGCTCATCCAGTGCCACCCCTGTCAGGGCAGGGACACCGCTGCTGTCCCTGTTCCGAGCCCTGTCCTTCCCCGGATCCAGGGGCAGCCACGGCTGCTCTGGGAAAGCCATTCCAGCCTCTCCCAGGGAACCATTCCTAATTCCCAATATCCCACCCATCCCTGCCTTCTGCCATGAGAGCCATTCCCTGTGCCCTGTCCCTCCATCCTTTGTCCCAAATCCCTCTCCAGCTCTCCTGGATCCCCTTTAGGCTCCCTAAGGTCACTCTGAGCCCCTTCAGGCTCTCTAAGGTCACTCTGGATCCCCTCATGCCCCCTAAGGCCACCCTGGATCCCTTTCAGGCTCTCTAAGGTCACCCTGGATCCCCTCATGCTCCCTAAGGCCACCCTGGAGCCCTTTTAGGCTCTCTAAGGTCACCCTGGATCCCCTCATGCTCCCTAAGGTCACCCTGGATCCCCTCAGGCTCTCCAAGACCACCCTGGATCCCTTTTAGGCTCCCTAAGGTCACCCTGGATCCCCTTTAGGCTCTCTAAGGCCACCCTGGATCCCCTCAGGCTCTCTAAGGCCACCCTGGATCCCTTTTAGGCTCTTTAAGGCCACCCTGGATCCCCTCATGCTCCCTAAGGCCACCCAGGATCCCCTTTAGGCTCTCTAAGGCCACCCTGGATCCCCTTTAAGCTAAGGTCACTCTGAGCCCCCTCAGGCTCTCTAAGGTCACCCTGGATCTCCTTTAGGCTCCTTAAGGCCACCCTGCATCCCCTTTAGGCTCTCTAAGGCCACCCTGGATCCCCTCAGGCTCCCTAAGGTCACCCTGGATCCCTTTAGGCTCTCTAAGGTCACTCTGAGCCCCCTCAGGCTCTCCAAGGCCACTCTGGGTCCCTTTTAGGCTCTCTAAGGTCACCTTGGATCCCCTTTAGGCTCTTTAAGGCCACCCTGGAGACCCTAAGGCCACCTTGGATCCCTTTAGGCTCTCTAAGGTCACTCTGAGCCCCCTCAGGCTCTCCAAGGCCAACCTGGAGCCCTTTAGGCTCTCTAAGGTCACCCTGGATCCCCTTTAGGCTCTTTAAGGCCACCCTGGATCCCTTTAGGCTCTCCAAGGTCACCCTGGATCCCCTCATGCTCCCTAAGGCCACCCTGGATCCCCTTTAGGCTCTTTAAGGCCACCCTGGAGCCCCTAAGGCCACCTTGGATCCCTTTAGGCTCTCTAAGGCCACCCAGGATCCCCTCATGCTCCCAAAGGCCACCCTGGCTCTCTTTAGGCTCTCTAAGGTCACCCTGGATCCCCTCATGCTCCCTAAGGCCACCCTGGCTCTGTGTCCCCCCGCTGCCCATTCCCAGGTGTCCCCCGCTGTCCCCAGGCCCTGCTCCGCAGCAGCCAGCCCCTGACGGGTCCCAACCGGCGGCGCTGCCGCGAGGACGAGCGGCTCCTGGGGACAATCCTGGACGAGGGCGAGCGCGGCTTCGTCATCGACACGCGCTCGGCGCAGGCGGCCAAGCAGGCGCGGATGGGCGGCGGCGGCACCGAGCCCAAATCCTGCTACCCGCAGTGGCGGCGGCTCCACCGCGCCCTGGAGAGGTGAGGGCAGGCGAAGAACGCGATTCCCCGGCTGCCGGGGTGCACTCCGGCCAGCTCCAGACCCTGATAATTCACAGGTGAAGGTAAAAGATTAGAGAAGCGCTCTCCTCCTCGTGGGAAGTGTTGTTGTTTATTCCAACACACACATCAGGTGGACAAACCCATGGGAGGAAAGAGAGCGTTCCCTGGCAGCAGGGATGGGGACAGAGGAGAGTCCACAGCCAGTGGGACACCAGTGAGGGGTGACCCAGGGGAGAGACCACCAGGGGTACCGGGACAGGTGGGGGACAGACCAGGTGATGGGGAAAAGGGGTAACAAACCACATGATGTAACATAAGCTACACAGTGCAATACAAAACTGTTCTGTGCAAATTCCCAATCACCCCGGGCGAGGGAACAACTGAACTGGTGCACCACAACAGGCAGGGCCCTGTCCCCCCTGTGTGACAGTGACACCGAGCCCCACACTGGCTCTGTCTCTCGGGGTGCCTCCCAGTGTCCCCCACTGGTGGCCCAAGGGCACTGGTGGCAGCTGGGCTAGTGGCCTTTGCAGCAGAGGGGACACTGGAGACAGCGGTAGGGGACAAAAGGTGACTGAGCAGGGGTTAATCCAAGGTTTATTCGGAGCTCCTCAGGAGCCCCACACCTCAGTGTGCGCCTTGCTCAGAGTAAAACAAAAGGAAGCTCAAGGTTTAAATATAACCTTGAGGTTTAAATATAACCGTGAGAGGTTATATTTAAAGAGGGAGGAAACCAAAGGTAGATGCATCTGTTGACTAATAAAGGCCCTAAAGGGATGAAACCTTAGTGATGGACATTTGGGATAGGGTATAAAATAATACTTGGGGGGGCTGAGCCCTGGCCTCGGACTAAACACTCGATGACTTGGCCTGAAAGTTCTAGATGGAAAGGATGGGATGTGAGTGACTGACAGAGAGCCAGGGCAGGGATTTGGGGATGATCTCAACCCAGGAGAATGATTACGCAGGGAGGGTGTACAAAAAGGGATCCACCATTTGGGGAAAATAAGGGGATCCAAAACCAAACCCATTACAAAGCACAAAAGCACACCAGCCAGCTCTGTCCCCTCTGCCAGAGGCCGCCCGCTGCAGGAGAGCTTTGCCCGGCTGGCGGAGGCGTGCGGCGAGCCCGCTCCGAGCATGGAGCGCTGGCTGGGCCGGCTGGAGGGCAGCCGCTGGCTCAGCCACGTCAAGGCCGCCCTGAGCACGGCCTGCCTGGCTGCCCAGTGCCTGGACAGGTAAGGGGGGGCTGCACCGTGGCCGTCTCGGCCCTTCCCGTGCCCGCAACGCGCCCCAAAACGCTGGGCTCGCCCCGGCAGGGAGGGCTGCTCGGTGCTGGTGCACGGCGCCGAGGGCACGGACACCACGCTGCTGGTGACAGCGCTGGCCCAGCTCATCCTGGACCCCGCCTGCCGCACCCTGGAGGGATTCCAGGAGCTGCTGGAGCGGGAGTGGATCCAGGTGAGAGCTGTTTTGGCAGGGCGGGGGTCCCAGCCCGGCTGGGTGCCTCACGCCGGGGTCTCCCGCAGGCCGGGCACCCCTTCCAGCTGCGCTGCGCCCGCTCCGCCTCCTCCCACGCCCGGGGGAAGCAGGAGGCGCCGGTTTTCCTCCTCTTCCTCGACTGCGTGTGGCAGCTGAGCCGGCAGTTCCCCTTCTCCCTGGAATTCGGGGAGCAGCTGCTGCTCACCCTCTTGGACAACGCCTACGCCTCGGCCTACGGCACCTTCCTGTGCAACAACGAGAAGGAGAGGTCGGTGAGGGGACAAAGCCCTCCTGGCGCGGCTTAGGTGACACTGCTGGGGACTGGAATGTGTGCCACCTGTCCCCACAGGAGCCTGTGTAAGGTGAGGGAAAGCACACACTCGCTGTGGGCCTGGCTGAACCAGCCTGAGGAGAGGCACAAGTACCTGAACCCTCTGTACTCACACAACCCCCTGGTGATCTGGCCCTCCGTGGAGCCCCAGAGCATCCAGCTCTGGCAGGGTGAGTGGGATCCTCCCAAAATCCAGCCCCAGCTCCCAGCTGGGCTGGCTCAGGGGCGGCTGCTGTGCCTTTCCCTGTGTGACAGGGCTGAGCTCACCCCCAGCCCCTTCTCTCCCAGGTTTCTTCCTTCGTTGGATCCGTCCTTCCCAGCACCTGGATGAGGCCTGGGTGGAGATCCAGAGGTTGGTGCAGGGAAAGAACTCCTCCCTCCAGGAGAGCGCAGGGAAAAGGCTGAGCCAGCCCCTCCCTGAGCCCCCTGCTGGGACAGAGAACGGTGAAACCGGGAAAGCTGGGACAAGGTGACGCTGGAAATTCCCGTGGGAAGGGCTGTGCAGGACACAGACCCCGTGGGCAGCTCTGGGACAGGGGACAGAGCCTCCCTCAGCTGCCCACCCTGAGCTCGTTTCAGTAAATCTCTCTCCCAGCCCTTGCCTGTGTCCTGCTCTTCCCTAAGGAAGCTGCTCCTTCCCACTGGGATTGCAGCAGTGCCCGTGGATGGCTCTGGAGCTGAAGGGCAGCAGATCACACAAAAAACCCCAAGAGATGATAGAAAAAAAAACAGCAGATCACACAAAAAATCCCAGTAGGACACACAAAAAAAAGCCAGATCACACCAAAAAACCCCAGCAGATCACACCAAGAAACTCCAACAGATCACACAGAAAATCCCCAGCAGGACACACAAAAAACCCAGCAGATCACAGAAAAAAAACTAACAGATCACACCAAAACACCCCAGCAGACCACACCAAGAAACTCCAACAGATCACACAAAGAAACCCCAGCAGATCACACCAAAAAACCCAACAATCACACACAACCACCCCAGCAGGACACACAAAACCAACACCCCAAAATCACACAGGCTGCAGCCTCTGCAGCCTGGAGCCAGCCTGGGAATTTCTGCCCTTGAGCCCAGTTTTGAGGAAGGAAAGAGGAAAAAAAAGAAAGAGCCAGGAGGGTGGGAGGGCGAGGATGTGCAGCAGGAGCTGCCAGGGCAGGAAATAACTGCTCCATGAGGGAAGCTGGCCCGGGGTCAGCCCAGCAGACAAACAGAGCGCCAGGGCCGGGCGCGTGCGTGCCAGCTGGAAAACAATTCCTGGCTGCTGCACTTGCAGCTTTTTCACACTTCAGGGCAGGGCCTGAGGCTGTGCAGCCTCCCTGGGAAGGAGGTCATGGATGGGCAGAGGTCCCAGGAGGAGCAGCAGAGCTCCATGGGTGTGGAGCAAAGCACTGGCAACAGAGCTGGGAAAACAAAGTCCTTGGGTTGATTTTGGTCCAAACGGGGAAAACCAACCTAAAAAAAAACCCCACAGAGGTGCTTTTCTTTGTGTTTAGAAAATATTTCTATTTATTTCCTCTTTTTTTCCCTTCCCCTGGTTTATAAATATGCCCAGCAGGGCAGGAAGCCAACCCAGTTCCCTTCACTCTTCTCCCAGTAAAAGCCACTGCAGCTGCTGGAGTTCCCACTTCCCCAACTTCCCACAGCCCCCAAAATCCCTGCCAAGAACAACTTCAGGCCTTTCCAACAGCCCCTGGACTGGGCAAGGGGTTGTTCCTCCAGCACTGCCAGCTTCCCAAAGGAAAGGGAAGAGCAATCCTTGGGGTGCCAGGAGTGCTCTGGGTGAGGATTCAGCCCTGCCAGAGGGAAAAGGACCAACCTGGCCTCGAATTTGCCAATCCTGGTGGAGGTGGTGGTCACATCCATGGCCTCTTGCCCTCCTCCCAGCACCACCTGCAGGGGAGGGAAAGCAGAGAAATCACAGCTCTTCATTTAGGGATTTAGGGAATCCTGGCACCACTGAGGTTGGGAAAGACCTCCAAGATGGAGCCCAGCATTGATCCCACCTTGAACCAGTGAGTGCCAGGTCCAGAGGCTCCCTGGACACTTCCAGAGGTGGTGACTGCCTCCAGCACTTCCCACTGATCCCACAGATCCCACAAATCCCTCAGCAGGCCTCCAAGCCCCTGAGGAATTCCCACCTCCCTGACACATTCTATCAGAGGATTTGTTCCCAGTGCCTGACCCAGCAAAATTCCCCAGGCTCATTCCAGAGTCCTGGTTTTGGGCTGGACTGGGAACTCCCACAATGCAGGATTCCCAGGATCAGTGACACCTCAGGGAGCTCATCCTTACGTGGTCAAAAATGGGGGAAAGGGCAGCAGAGTTCACCGGCCGCTCCGTCCGGAACGTCTTCAGGTGCTCCAGGGATGTGCAGTCAAAGAGCTACGAGGGGAAAAGGAGAAATTCATGAATCAGCTCCAGCTGCTGGGCCTCACCTGCACGGGTGTTCCCTCTGCAAGCTCAAATCCCAAAAATATTCCCCCAGAAAGGCAAGTCTTCCACCTTCCAGAACTGACAAACTAGAGAAATACCCAAATATTTAATTTTCAACGCCTGGCTGTTCATTTAGCACCTCCCCTTTCTCACTGAACATTCCCCAGGGAGCAAAACTCCCTCTGAGCAGAGATCCTGCCAGGAAATCTGCAGGAAAAGCTCACCTTGGCTGTGTTATCCTTGGAAGCAGTGATGAACATGGTCATGTCCCGGGAGGTCTGGATGTCGTTGATTTGCTTGGTGTGCTCCTTGATATTGGACAGCTGCTCCCCTGACTGGGGGGGAAGAGGAGTTTTCATGGGGCTGGGAAGGGATTCCCTCATTAAAAGTAACATGGAATGGAACCCTGGAATGCTCTGGGTGGGAATTTAGGAGTGGATTCAGTTCCATGTCCCTGCTCTGTGTCACTTCACTCAGAGGAGCCTCAGATTTTAACAGAGGAGGGGAAGAAGAGTTTTCAGGGAGCTGGGAAGTGATTCCTTCATTTAAAATACCTTTGGAGAACATGGAATAGATTCCTGGGAGAACATGGAACAGAACCCTGGAATGCTTTGGGTGGGAATTTGGGAATGGATTCATTTCCACGTCTCTGTGCTGTGCCAATTCCACCCTTACTCAGGGGAGCCTCAGATTTTAACAGAGGAGGGGAAGAGGAATTTTTTTCAGGGAGCTGGGAAGTGATTCCCTCATTAAAAACACCTTGGGAGAGCATGGAATGGAATCCTAGAATGCTTTGGGTGGGAAGGGAATTTAGGAATGGATCCAGTTCCATCAGATTTTAAAAAGGGGATGGAAAAAGGAGTTTTCAGGGAGCTGGGAAATTATCCCCTCATTAAAAACAACACGGAATGGAACCCTGGAATGCTTTGATCTGGAAGAGAATTTAGGAATGGATTCAGTTCCACCTCTCTGTGCTGTGTCAATTCCAGCCTCGCTCAGGACAGCCCCACATTTCACTGATCCCTGCTGAAGCTGCTGTTTGTGGAGCCCCCCAGAGCCCCATTCCAGCCCTGCTCCCCCTGGGAATGCTCTCCCAGGCCCTGACCTTGGCACTGAACTGGTTGAGCTCGCCGTTCTCGTGGCCAGCAATGATGAACTCCCCGAGCGGGCCCCACACGGCGCTGGTGATCTTGGAGTCACTGCAGGGAATCTTCATGTAGGGCTCGTTGTTCTCTGGGGGAAGCAGCAATCAGCCACCCACAGCCAGCACTTATCCTTCCATGTCCCCTGCTCAGCTGGGATTTGGGCTTTTCCAGCATTTCAAAGTGGATTCCTTGGTGATTTTTGTTTATGGAGCTCAGGGGCAGCATGTTGGAATCCCACAGGGAAGGGGATGAAGGAATTGTGTCCTTGCTGATGTGATCACCCCACAACCACTCCCAGCCACCCAGCAAAGAGATTTTTTAGGGAAGCATCTCCTCTACTCCATCCCTGAAAATATCCCAAGCCAGGTTAGAGCAACTTAGGACAGGGGAAGGAATGGGAACGGGGTGAGATTCAAGGCTGCCCCAACCCCAGAAATCCCTGTGGGACCCCCTGAGGGAGATTCCCTGGCCCCTCACCGATCTGGCTGGGGTCCCTGAGGTCGAAGAAGCTGACAAAGCACTGGTAGCCCATCTGCTTGTCCGTGGAGAACATGATGATGTTCCCTCCGAAGTCGAAGCCGCACGTCCTCACGGCCGAGCTGGTCTTCACCAGGGCCAGCTGCTTCCCTGGGGACACAGAGCTCAGGGGTGGGAAAGGATTTCCTTATTAAAAACACCTTGGGAGATCATGGGATGGAACCTGGGATGGAAACTGGGATCTTCTGGGTGGGAATTTAGGAGTGGATTCAGTTCCACGTCTCTGCGCTGTGACAATTCCAGCCTCGCTCAGGGGAACCTCAGATGTTAACAAAGGAGGGGAAGAGGGATTTTCAGGGAGATGGGAAATTATTTCCTTATTAAAAACACCTTGGGAGATCATGGGATGGAACCTGGGATGGAACCTGGGTGGGAATTTAGGAGTGGATTCAGTTCCACGTCTCTGCGCTGTGACAATTCCAGCCTCGCTCAGGGGAGCCCCAGATTTTAACAGGGAAGAGTTTTCAGGGAGCTGGGAAGTGATTTCCTGACTAAAAACACCTTGGGAGAGCATGGAATGGAATCCTGGAATGCTTTGGGTGGGGAGGGAATTTAGGAACAGATTCAGTTCCACAGCCCTGTGCTGAGGTGTCACTTCCAGCCCTGCTCAGGGGAATCTCAGATTTTAAAGTGAAGAGGGATTTTCAGGGAGCTGGGAAGTGATTCCCTCGTTAAAAACAACATGGAATAGAACCCTGGAATGCTCTGGGAGGGAATTTAGGAATGGATTCAGTTCCAGGTCCTTCCAGCCTTGCTCAGGGGAGCCTCAGATTTTAACAGTGAAGAGGGATTTTCAGGGGAGCTGGGAAGTGATTCCCTCATTAAAAACAACATGGAATAGAATCCTGGAATTCTTTAGGTGGGAAGAAAATTTAGGAGTGGATCCAGTTCCACATCTCTGTGCTCTGTCACTTCCAGCCTTGCTTAGGGGAGCCTTGGATTTTAACAGGGAAGAGGGATTTTCAGGGAGCTGGGAAATGTTTTCCTCATTAAAAACAGAGTGTCCCAGGATGTCCCAGGGATATCCCAGCAGTGTCCCAGGATGTCCCAGGGATGTCCCAAGCCCCAGCAGTGTCCCAGGATGTCCCAGGGATGTCCCAAGCCCCAGCAGTGTCCCAGGATGTCCCAGGGATGTCCCAAGCCCCAGCAGTGTCCCAGGATGTCCCAGGGATGTCCCAAGCCCCAGCAGTGTCCCAGGATGTCCCAGGGATGTCCCAAGCCCCAGCAGTGTCCCAGGATGTCCCAGGGATGTCCCAAGCCCCAGCAGTGTCCCAGGATGTCCCAGGGATGTCCCAAGCCCCAGCAGTGTCCCAGGATGTCCCAGGGATGTCCCAAGCCCCAGCAGTGTCCCAGGATGTCCCAGGGATGTCCCAAGCCCCAGCAGTGTCCCAGGATGTCCCAGGGATGTCCCAAGCCCCAGCAGTGTCCCAGGATGTCCCAGCAGTGTCCCAGGGATGTCCCACGGATGTCCCAGGGATGTCCCCAAGCCCAGCAGTGTCCCAGCAGTGTCCCAGCAGGGTCCCAGGCATGTCCCAGGGATGTCCCAGCAGTGTCCCCAAGCCCAGCAGTGTCCCAGGATGTCCCAGCAGTGTCCCAGGATGTCCCAGCAGTGTCCCAGGATGTCCCAGCAGTGTCCCAGGATGTCCCAGCAGTGTCCCAGGCATGTCCCAGGGATGTCCCACAGGATCTGGGCTGCCTCACCTGTCTCACAGTCCCACAGGCGGCAGCTGTTGTCAGCAGAGCCGGTCAGGACGTGCCTGGTGTCCCCTGGGTCACCATTAAGGGAAATTCAGCCCCAAACTCCCCTGCTGGGCACTCAGAGAACATCTCTGCACCCAAAAAGGGATTTTTTTGGGGAAAAATCTGCCCCAGGGAAGGCAGCACGGAGGCCAAGTGTTCCCACGGCAAAATCCCATCTTTTCTCCAAGAAATTTAAAAGAAAAAGTTCAGGTTTTTTGCATTTAAATAAATTTTCCCCACTTTTATCTCTGCTGCCTGTGGAAAATCTTTCCCAAATACCCAGAGAAGCAGCAAAAAGGCACAACAAATCCAGATATCCACCGGGATGTTACTCCAAATGGGAAAACACCCAAAAGATGGGAAAAGGAGAGGCAGCAGGAGAGTTTGAATGCTCCTTTTGGAGAGGAAAACGAGGAGCAGCCGGGAGGAGACTCCGGGAATGATTCAGCCACTAAAACATGGAATAAAACCGGTCTGGGATCAAAGGATACAGTCGGCATCCACACACCACACAGCTCCCGTGTGCCCGTTGTAGGTGCCCAACCTCTCGCCATTCACCGAATACCAAACATTGACAATCTGCGAGGAGGGGGAAAAAAATGATTTAAAACGAACCATTGATTAATTATCGGTTAATTAGCGGGGGTGGGCAGCACTCACGGGATCCTTGGCCACGGTGAACAGCAGGTCTCCCTCGCGGTTGTATTTGATCTGAGTGATGGAGCGCTCATGGCCTTGCAGCAGGATGGGCTTCTGTAATTAATGATGAAATAATAAATGAGTGAGGGGGGGAAATGAGGGGGAGGACGGGGGAGAGCGCGGTCCCCGGTCCGGGGCTCCTGTGACGCGGTGGGGAGGCCAAGGAGCTCCGGACCGGGGGCGCGGAGCCGCTAAATCAGCGGTGGCGACCAAAACTCGCCACCCCCGAGCCCGCGGCGATCCCGCTCTCACCATGGCGGCCACGCTGAGCCCTGAGGGGGGCGGCACTTCCGGGATGGCGGCGGCGCGGCGGAAATACGTCACGGTCTCCATGGCAACAGAGTGGCTTCCGGGGGAAGCCGGAAGTGCAGCGGCGTTGCCATGGCGACCGCGGGTGAGGGGGGAGTGATGGCGGCGGGGAGGGTTTGTTTGGGAAGGGGGAAAACGCGGCTGAGGGGGCCCGGAGGGTTCAGGGGGTTGTGGAGAGGGGGTCGGGCTCTTGTGGCAGGATGGGAGCGTGGGGTGGGGAAGGAACTTGGGGATCCGGCGGTGGCGGGCACAGCTGGGGCTGCTCCGAGCGCCATCCCGCCGGGCCTGGGGCGCTGCCCGCTGCTGAGGGGGACGCCTGGAGCGGCCCCCTGGAACAGAGGCTGGGCGGAGTTAAAGGAACAAAGTAGGGATTTGTTAAAATGCCTTCAGAGGATGTACCTGGGGCAGCACAAGAGCCTGGCCATGGTTCCACCCAAGATGGACCCAAGTCTTATATTATGTTATATTATATTAATTCTATAATGTGCATATATAACATTAGTTATATATATAAATATAACCAATGGCATTCTTTCTCATTGATGTGCTCCTTCTGCACATTATTGTTAATCACCAAGATCCTGTTGTAGCACAGTTTGTAATCTGTAATCCCTTGTAACTGCCTTTTGGTATAATATAATGTCAGGTTTTGCAGGCACTGTGTAGTTTATATAAAAATAGTGTGACAAATGTGGCTTAGGCCCTCTCACACTGTTCAAATAGAAGCTCTGAGCTGTTAAATACTTTTATGTGTGTAAGTAACTCGTGTGAGCTCAGTGTAGTTGTGGGCTGTCTCACCTGAGTCACAAGATAGCAGCAGGACACCAGGAGAAAAAGTAAATTTTGTTTTTCACACAGCCTCCCTTCCCTGGGCTCCTTGCTGAAACCACACTTCCCATCCTCAGTGGGTAAATCCTGCAGCTCTGCCCTCCCCCTGCAGAATTCCCAGCTCTGCCAGGTGTCCTGGCAAACCCCCCGACCCCGGGCTGGCCCTGGCACCCCCGTGCCCCCTGTGGTGCCAGGGTGGGACCCTCAGCCAGCCCTGTGCTCTCCTGCAGTACCTGCTGCCCCTCCTGCTCAACCAGGCTGGATCCCTGCTCTTCTACCTCACCTTGGCCTCCACAGGTCAGTCCTGCTGCTTTTTTGGGGTGCTTTGATGGGATTTTGTGGCTCAGTGACTCGGCCAAAGAGCAAGCAGCTCCCTCGGAATAATCCCAAATAAACCAAATGGGAATAATCCCAAATAAACCAAATGGGAATAAACCCAAATAAACCAAACTGGAATAATCCCAAATAAACCAAATGGGAATAGTCCCAGATAAACCAAACTGGAATAGTCCCAGATAAACCAAACTGGAATAAACCCAAACAAACCAAACTGGAATAGTCCCAAATAAACCAAACTGGAATAGCCCCAAATAAACCAAACTGGAATAGTCCCAGATAAACCAAGCTGGAATAATCCCAAATAAACCAAATGGGAATAGTCCCAAATAAACCAAACTGGAATAAACCCAAACAAACCAAACTGGAATAGTCCCAGATAAACCAAACTGGAATAGTCCCAGATAAACCAAATGGGAATAGTCCCAAATAAACCAAAATGGAATAATCCCAAATAAACCAAATGGGAATAACCCCAAATAAACCAAAAGGGAATTACCCCAAATAAACCACATTTCTCCACTTGAAACTTGCATTTCAGACCTGTCCCTGGCAGTGCCACTCTGCAACTCCCTGGCTTTGGTTGTGACCTTGGTGACTGGGAAGATCCTGGGAGAGGACATTGGAGGGAAAAGTGAGTCCCACTTCAAGCATTTCCTCAAGAAATCAGCTTTTATTGGATTGAGATGAATTGATTTGATTTTTAATGTGGGGGATTTGATTTTTAATGTATAATTTAATTTATAATCTGAAGACACCAAACACTCCACAAGGTTTGAACTGGGTCACAGCAGCTTTGGCTGCAGGGAATTGAAATGGGAAAGGGAATTGGAACAGATTTTTGGGCAGGGCTGGTGAATTTAAAACCAGAAATGGCTGTTTTAAGCTAAAAGGATTTATATTTCCCTCAGGAGATGTTTAACCATGAATAAAATGCCCACCAGGGAAAAGGAGTGACCCAAAAGCCCCCAAAAGTCAACGTGCCCCGCTCAGGTGGTCAGGAAAAAAGCAGCAAATTGGGGAATTTCAAACTGCAGGACCTGGAGAAGCAGCTGGGGGTTGTTGTTTGAGGCAGATTCCCAGTTTATCCCCATTTATTGATCACTGATTCGTTCCTCCCCCAGGAGCTGTGGCAGGAATGCTGCTCACCATGCTGGGTGTGTCCCTGTGCCTGGCTGGGGCCTGAGGCAGCAGAGCAGCTCCAGGGCTCCTGCCCCGTGCCCGGGGGAGCTCCTGGCTCAGCCCCACCTGGGGAGGTGTTTTGGGATGGCCAAAATCCGTGGATTGCACTCCCCGAGTGCCAGCACTGCAGGGACAGCCAGTTCTGTGCCTTAAAGGGGGTTTGGTGGCTCTTTGCAGAGCAGTGAGCAAAGTGTCCTGTCCAGCACTGCAGGGGAAAGAAATGGTTAATAAATTATCGGGTAAGAAATGGTTAATAAATTATCGGGCAAGAAATGGTTAATAAATTATCGGGTAAGAAATGGTTAATAAATTATCGGGCAAGAAATGGTTAATAAATTATCGGGTAAGAAATGGTTAATAAATTATCCAGTGGGACCTCCTGGCACTGATGGATTTTTGATTAGCCCAGACTCTTCTGACCACCCCTAAACCCTTCAACCAGCCCCTCACTGAGCCCAAAGCTAAAAACCCTAAACCCTTCTGACAATCCCAAACCCCCCTGAGCACCCCAAACCCCCCTGAGAACCCCAAACCCTTCTGAAAATCCCAAACCCCCCTGAGAACCCCAAATCCTCCTGAACCCCAAACCCTCCTGAGAACCCCAAACCCTTCTGACAATCCCAAACCCCCCTGAGCACCCCAAACCCTCCTGCCCCCCCCAAACCCTCCTGAACAGCCCCCTGAGCACCCCAAACCCTCCTGCCCCCCCCAAACCCTCCTGAACAGCCCCCTGAGCACCCCAAACCCTCCTGCCCCCCCCAAACCCTCCTGAACAGCCCCCTGAGCACCCCAAACCCTCCTGCCCCCCCCAAACCCTCCTGAACAGCCCCCTGAGCACCCCAAACCCTCCTGCCCCCCCCAAACCCTCCTGAACAGCCCCCTGAGCACCCCAAACCCTCCTGCCCCCCCCAAACCCTCCTGAACAGCCCCCTGAGCACCCCAAACCCTCCTGCCCCCCCCAAACCCTCCTGAACAGCCCCCTGAGCACCCCAAACCCTCCTGCCCCCCCCAAACCCTCCTGAACAGCCCCCTGAGCACCCCAAACCCTCCTGCCCCCCCCAAACCCTCCTGAACAGCCCCCTGAGCACCCCAAACCCTCCTGCCCACCCCAAACCCTCCTGAACAGCCCCCTGAGCACCCCAAACCCTCCTGCCCACCCCAAACTCTCCCTGCTGAGCCCAGCCCAGTTCCCAGGATGCAAAGGCAGCAGCAGGAACCACAGGGCTCTTTGATCCAGCAGGATTTATTCCCAGGATTTGATCCTCCAGGATCAGGAGCAGCCAGCAGGTTCCCACCAGGATTTCTGTCACCTCCCTGCCATGGTTTGGGAAGTCCCAAAGGTGCTGTCCTGTCCTGGACACGTCCCCCTCAGCCATGGACACAGCAGGAGAAATCAGGGAGCCAGACAGGAACAGGTTCAGCATCAGGAAAAGTTTTTTATTTCCAAAAATAAAAAGAATTTCCAGAGCAGAAAAATCCACATCTGCAGTAGGGTCAGGGCAGGGAGCCACAGCACCACGGGGACAGTCCCTGACTGAGGGACCTGGGGTGTCCCTGAGCTGAAGGAACTGACAAAGCACCAGGTCCTTTCCTGCCTCTCCCCAGGAGAGAATTCCCAGAGGCAGGAATGAGCCTCATCCCAAGGATCAGGGCACTGGGCCTCCCTCCCCACAGCCCAGCCAGGGACTCCTCCCCACTCAACACTCCCAAAAATCCACTGGGACAGCCTGGCCACTGCAGAGCCACCCCAAGAGAGATTCCCTGGAATCCCCAGAGCTCGAGGGAGCAGCTCCTTCCTGCAGCAGCCCCAAAGCACCAGCTGGGGGTGACAATCCAGCCCACCCCGAGCCGGGACCCCTCCCACGGCTGATGCTGCTCAGTCCTGCTCACACCAAATATCCACAAAAGGATTTTCTTCCATTTTTCTGGGGTGAAACATCCCCCGAGCTGCTCCTGTCCCCTCAGGGCTGCTGCAGCTCCAGGGCTTCTCCCTCGGGAATGCTGCTGGGGGGGTGGGAACGCCCAGCTTCTGCTTCAGCAGCAGGAACTGCACAGAGACACACCCTGCTTCACATCTCCTTGGATTTCCTAGCTACTTCTGTATATTTGCTTTTATATCTCTTGATTATTTTCTATTGTCTTTGATATTTCTTTATATTTTCTATTTTATTTTCTATTTTCTTGATATTTTGATATTTCATTATATTTTGTATTTTCTTTTATATTTCCTTTATATTTTATTTTATATTCCTTTATATTTTATTTTATATTCCCTTATATTTTCTTTGATATCCCTTTATATTTTCTATTTCTTTCTATTTTCTTTTATATTCCTTTATATATTCTTTTATATTTCTTTCCATTTTCTTTGATGTCTTTATATTTTCTTTGATATCCCTTTATATTTCCTTTGATATTTCCTTTGATATTCCTCTATATTTCCTTTGATATTTTGCTATATTTTCTTTACTTCTTTCTATTTTCTCTGGTATTTTGTTATTTCTTTCTATTTTCTCTGATATTTTCTTTGTTATTTCTTTCTATTTTCTCTGATATTTTCTTTGTTATTTCTTTCTATTTTCTTTGCTATTACCTTTATATTTTATTTTCCTTTATATTTTTAATCTTTTCTTTGCCATTTCTTTCTATTTCCTTTGCTATCCCTTTCTATTTCCTTTCCCAGAGCCCCTGCAGCCCCGTGCTCACGTGTTTCCTGCTGCTGATGGCCTGTTGGATCCACAGCAGCTCCAGCAGGAGATGTTCCCTGTGGGATTGCAGCTCCCAGCGGGGCAGGCCCTGCAGCTCCTCTGGGATTTCTGCCCAAAAAAAGGGAAAACCCCAAAGCTCAGCCCTGTGGGAGCTGCTCCAGCGTTCCCAAATCATTCCTGAGTTTTTGTGGCTCTCACCTGGGCTGGCTCCCAGCTCGCTGCTGTCGCTGGCCCACCCCAGGGCTCCTCCCTCCTCCTCCTCCTCCTCCTCGGGGCTCTGTGCAGCACCACGCCCCAAATCCGGGGGGTTTTGGGGGTTTTTGGGGTTTGGGGTTGTTCCCCAGGGCAGGGGGGCTGAGTTGGGGATGTTCCCAGCCCGCTCTGCTCCACGAGGATCCGGCTCTTCACGCGTTTTTCTGGGAATGGTTTTGTTCTCTGCAGCACCACGCCTCAAATCCGGGGGGTTTTGGGGGTTTTTGGGGTTTGGGGCTGTCCCCCAGGGCAGGGGGGCTGAGTTGGGAATGCTCCCACAGTTCCCAGCCCGCTCTGCTCCACGAGGATCCGGCTCCTGCCGGGTTTTTCTGGGAATGGTTTTGTTCTCTGCAGTCTCCCCTGGATCCAAGGGTTTCCCTGGAGAGGGCTGGAAAAGAGGGGAAAAAAAAGGAAAAGAGGGGAAAAAAAAAATCCCAATGCAATGGGAGAGGGGAAAAAGTATGAGAAAAAAGATTTTTAAAAATCAAGAAAGTGTAAAAAAATACAAGAGGAATAGGAAGAAAATATGATGATGAAGAGGAAGGAAATAGGAAGAAAAAATAAAGAAACAGAAAAGAAAATATCAACGAAAAATCAAAGAAATATAAAAGAAAATATCAAATAAAATAGTAAAATAAAAGAAAATATAGAAAACAACATTAAATAAAAGAAAATATATAAAATATAAAGAAATATAAACATATCAAAGAAAATACTAAGTAAACACAGAAAATATATAAAATATAAAGAAATATAAACATATCAAAGAAAATATTAAACACAGAAAATATAGAAAATATAAAGAAATATATAGAAATATCAAAAAAAATCAAAGAAATATCAAAGAAAATATTAAAAGAAACAAAATAAAATATATAAAAGAAAAGAGAACAGCTGTGCCAGCTGTTAACACCACCCTGCCCTGCTCTGAGCCACCCGAACTCTCCTGGCACGGGAATCACCTGGGCACTGCCCCGGGGCCGGGCTGCACCGGGAGCGCCGAATCCCACCGGGGCCGGCCCGGGGCCGTCCTGCAGGCAGGGGCACACGGTCAGCGCTTCCAGCGGGCCGCCATCCCCGCTGCCGGGCTGTTCCCGGTGCTCCCGGGCCGTTCCCGGTGCCCTCCCGGTGCCGCTCCCGCACCTCGGCGCCGAAGCGCGGTCTCTGCAGGACGCGGCCGCTCCAGCGCAGCTGCCGCAGGTCGCCCTCGATCTCCAGCACCACGGCCTCGAACTCCGCCCGCACGCTCCGCAGCCGCCGCCGCAGCAGGAACCCCCTGGCACAGGCCTGGCACGGCCCGGGGGCAGCGCTGGAACCGAACCGAACCGGGCCGGGCCGGCACCGAACGCGGGCGAGCCCAGGCGGCAGCGCCGGCTGCAGCATCCCCCCGCGGCCGGGGGAGCCTCACGGGAGAGCCCTCACGGAGCTGCCCTCGCGGAGCTGCCCTCGCGGAGCTGCCCTCATGGAGCTGCCCTCACGGAGCTGCCCTCACGGAGGAGCCCTCATGGAGGAGCCCGCCCGGGGGTGCCCTCACGGAGGAGCGCTCACGGAGAAGCCCTCACGGAGCTGCCCTAGCGGAGGAGCCCGCCCGGGGGTGCCCGCCCGGAGGTGCCCTCATGAAGGAGCCCTCATGAAGGAGCCCTCACGGAGCTGCCCTCACGGAGCTGCCCTCACGGAGAAGCCCTCACGGAGCTGCCCGTCCGGGAGTGCCCGGCCGGAGGTGCCCTCACGGCCCTCTCCAGACGTGCCACCCCAGGGGTCTCATCCCGACGTGCCCCCCCAAAGGCCCCATCCACCTTTCCCCTTCCCCTCCCGGCCCCGCTCCCCCGCCGGCCCCGCGTTCCCCCGGGCCGGTCCCGCACCTGCAGCCGGGTCACGGAGCGCAGGAGCCGCCGCCGCCCCTCGGCCTCAGCCCCGGCCCCGGCCGGCGGGCCCGGCGCGGCCGCCATGACCACGGCGCCGCCTGCTGACGTCATCGGGCCGCGACCGCTGCCGCCATGGCGGGGGGCGCCCGGCCGGGGCCGCCCGGGAGTCCTGGGGATGGCGGGGACGGGGAAGGGGACAGGGTCGGGGTCGGGGTCATGGCGCCGCGTCCTCGGGGTCCGAGCTCTCGGCCAGGTGCAGCTTCTGTCTGAGAGCGGGTCAAGGGGAAGCGCCAGCACCGCCACTGTCACCAGTGTCACTGTCACTACTACTGGCATTGTCACCACTGCCACCGCCACCCTCATCACTGTCACCATTGTCACTGTCACCACTGACACTGACACCGCCACCCTCATCAATGTCACCATTGTCACTGCCACCATTGCCACCACCACCCCCATCACTGTCACCATTGTCACTGCCACCATTGCCACCGCCACCCCCACCACTGTCACAGCCGCCACTGACAGTGCCATCACTGTCACCACTGCCACCATTGCCATCCAACTGACAGTGCCATCACTGTCACCACTGCCACCCCTGCCACTGCCGCCACTGCCACCCCTGCCACTGCCACTGCCACCAGCCAAGGATACATGGAGCTGCTGAGCTCTTCCAGCTGTGGGAGCAAAGGCAGAGGCTGAGGGCGCGGAGGGGACCCCGGCGTGCCCCAGGCCTGGCGGGGCAGGGGTGTCACAGCGTGTCACAGCGTGTCACAGCGTGTCACAGGTGCCACTCACGTGTGCCAGCAGCTGGTCCAGGTTTCTGTCGGCCGCCGCCTTCTTCTGCTCCTCGGGGAGCTCCTCCACGCAGCCGTCCAGGCCGAAGTGCAGCCGCGCCAGCTTCTCCTGCAGCTCCCGCACGTGCTCCAGCTGCTCGAAGGAGCACGCCTTCCCTGGGGACAGCAGAACCTTCCAGAACTGCCCAGAGCAGCTGCCCGAGGGATCAGTGCCAACCCCCAGCCTGTCCCTGCTCTGTGGATCCATCATCCATGGAGCCATGGATCTATCATCCATCCATCCATCATCCATCCATCCATCCATCCATCATCCATCCATCCATCCGTCCATCATCCATCCATCCATCATCCATCCATCCATCATCCATCCATCCATCCATCCATCCATCCATCCATCCATCATCCATCATTCCCCAGCCCATTCCTTCTCTTGGATCCAAAATTCCCCAGCCCCAAAATTCCCCAGTCTGCTCCTTCCCTGTGCCCATCCCACCTCATCCCATCCCATGGATCCAATGCCATGGATTCCATCCCATCCCATCCCATCCCATCCCATCCCATCCCATCCCATCCCATGGATCCCATCCCATCCCACTGATCCCATCCCATCCCATGGATCCCATCCCATTCCATCCCACTGATCCTATCCCATCCCATGGATCCCACCCCATGGATCCCCCCCCCGCCGCCCCTCACCGAACGCCTGCAGCTTTCCCGAGTGGAAGTCGCTGAGGAGGCTGAGCAGCCCGCGCTCCATCTCGCACACGTCGGACACATCCGTGAGGAAGCTGTGCTGCAGCGGAGCCCCCCGGCCGCCCCCCGCGCCCGCCCGCGCCCGCTCCTTGCTGGCCCTGCGGGGAGCGCGGCGTTGGCACCGGCACCGCCCGCTCGGGGCCGCGCCGGTTCCCCGGGGCCGCACTGACCGGCGGGGCCGCGGCCGCTGCCGGGGCGAGGGCAGCGGCAGCGCGAAGGACGCGCTCTTGCTGGGGGGCAGCGGCCGCGGGGCCCCGGCGGGCTGGGCCAGGCAGCTCTGCGGGCTCCGCTTCTTCCTGCGCTCCTCCATGGCCGGGCGGGGGCTGCGACACCGGCACCGGCACCGGGCGTGCGGCGGACGCGGCGCGGGGAAGCTCCTTCCCTGCACGGACATGAGGCTCGGGGAGAGGATGCGGATGCCCCGGGGGGCTGGGGGAGCCCCGGGATAAGGGGACAGAGCCAGGGGCGCCGGGACCCCCAGGTGAAGGAGTGACAGCCACGGGCACCGAGGGCCGCTCCGGGTGGCGGCGGGAGGAGCGGAGCAGGAGCTCGGTGCCCGTTCCCGGGGGCTCCGCTCTCTCCCCGCGCCCGGAGCATCCCCCAGGAGCTCGGCCGGGGCCTGAACCGCAGCCGCAGCTCCGGCCGGGCCCCGTCTCTCGATGGAAAAAAGGATTTCGGCCCCAAAACACCCCGGAGAGAGCGGAGCGTACGGGGACCGTCACCCCTTTGTCCCGCCGAGCCCCCCGAGCCCGGCGCGGCGCCGGGACCGGGCAGCTCCGGGGGTGATCCCACCCTTTGTCCCCTTTGTCCCCTTTGTCCCCAACCTCCCTCCGGAGCGCCACGGCCGGGACTGACCTGAGCCAGGCCCGCTCCGGCCTCCGGGACCAGAGGGACACCCCGAGAGCGAGGGACACCCCGAGCCCGCCGGACGCCCCCCGCCCGCCGGACACCGTCCGCACCGCCCGGGATTTGCATTTAAAGGGAAAGGGAACTTCCTCCGGACAGCGGCTGCCCGCGGGATCCGCGGACGTGCCCCGGGATCAGCATCCCGCAGGGTCGGGAACGGGGCGGGATCCGCTCCCCGAGCCCGCGGAGCCCCCGGCCGGTTCCTGCCACCCCTCCCGCCCCCCGGCCGCGGCTTTACCCCGAGTCCCCTCCGGTGTCCCCGCCGCGCCGCGGGTCCGTCCCTGCTGGAAGCAGCCGGGAAGGGCCGCCAGCCCTGGCGCAGGGCCGGGATTAACAAATCCCGTCCCCCCCCCCTTCCAGCCCGAGCGCGGCCGCTGCTGTAAATGCCGGCAGGATTTTTAACCGATCTTGGACATTTTGGAGCCGATGGGGGCACAAGAGACCAGCGGGGAGGGGGGGGTTGGTACCCCCAGAGCCGGGACCCTCAGGGCTGGTGGCTGCAGCGTCCCGGGAGATGTCACCTCACGCTGGGGACACCCCGATGTCCCCCCTGAGCAGGGACATCCCATCCCCACCGCAGCAAAACGCCCCTTGCAGCCTCCCCCAGCTCATTCCCAAGGGAAAGGAGGAGCAGAGCTCTGGGACAGGGCAGGAGGAGTTCGTGGGGATTGGGAGCGGGGCTGTGTGTAGGTGTTGTGTGTAGTTTGTGGGGATTGGGGCTGTGTGTAGGTACAGTTTGAGGGAATTTGGATTGGGGCTGTGTGTAGCTTTTGTGTGTGGATTGTGGGGATTGGGAACAGAGCAGTGTGTAGGTTTTGTGTGTAGATTTTGGGGATTGGGAACAGAGCAGTGTGTAGGTTTTGTGTGTGGATTGTGGGGATTGGGAACAGAGCAGTGTGTAGGTTTTGTGTGTGGATTGTGGGGATTGGGGCTGTGTGTAGGGTGTGGATTGTGGGGATTGGGGCTGTGTGTAGGTACAATTTGAGGGGATTTGGATTGGGGCTGTACATAGGTACAGTTTATGGTGATTGGGGCTGTGTGTAGGTTTTGTGTGTAGATTGTGGGGATTGGGAACAGAGCTGTGTGTAGGTTTTGTGTGTGGATTTTGGGGATTGGGAACAGAGCAGTGTGTAGGTACTCAGTGTGTGGGGGTCGGGGCTGCTCCCCAGTTTGCAGCTCTGAACAGCAGGGCAGCAGCACCGGCAGCAGAGCCAGGGAGTGTCCAGGTGTGCTGAGAAAAGGGAGCAGAGGGCACCCAGGTGCCATGCATGAACGTGAGGGGTATAAAAACTTGGGTAAAGAACAACAAGGGCTGATGCTTGCAGCCTCCTGAGGTGACGTGATGTTACCCTGTAGGGGTTGAAGCTTTCTGAAATTGTATGGTGACACTCTGGGCATCGTGGCTGTTTCAACTGTGACATCTGCTGTGACAGGACACAGGGAAGTCCCCACAGCCCAAAATCTTCAGTTCACTCCCGTGGTAAAGAAGAGAGACACCAGAGGCAGCAGCAAGGTTGGGAGTGTTTCTATTGGATACAGGATACACACGAGGAGCTTTCTGTACCTTAACAGGGAAAAGACAGAAAAAAAAGGGGGTTTGGTGAATTTCTAAGGGGTTTTGCTTTTACTCAAGTCCAGATGTCGACAGCTCAGCCTGGCTGGGTTACATTCATGGATCATCCCAGAGGAACTGAGCTGACAGCAGGGGCTGGAAGACAAAGCCACCCCAGCTCCAGGGACTGTCCCAGTGGGTGTCCAGCACGGCTCTGTGGAGCCTCAGAGCCCGTCCATGCTGCCCTCCTCAGATCTGGATTCCCTGGAGGAGAAGGAGACAGGGAGGCAGGTCCTCCATGGAGGGAAGATGTGAGAGCAGCTGTGGTGCCAGAAGAGAATCCCAGACGGATCCACTGGATACATCCACGGTGGGGATCAGCTTCCAGCACCAGGAAGGCAATGCTGGGAATAAAGTCTGTCACAAACAGAAGCTGCAGCGAGGTCTGAAGCGAGCCCAGTCTTCCAAAAGAACAGCGAAAAGACAAAGTCTTGACAAACCAAGGAAAATCCCAAAACCTGGTGCCAGCAGGTCCCACGCTGTCCCTAAACTCCCTCCCAGCACATCCAGGCCCTGCAGGGTGAGGCAGCACTGGGGGGATGCTCTTCCAAGCAGAGAGGGGAAGGAGAAGTGGGGCTGGGAGAGCACAGGCACCCCCAGGCTGGGGGGACGGCAGGAGCAGCCCCAGGGCACAGCCTGGGAGCTGCTCCCAGCCCCAGGGCAGAGCCTGGGAGCCGCTCCCAGCCCCAGGGCAGAGCCTGGGAGCCGCTCCCAGCCCCAGGGCAGAGCCTGGGAGCCGCTCCCAGCCCCAGGGCAGAGCCTGGGAGCCGCTCCCAGCCCCAGGGCAGAGCCTGGGAGCCGCTCCCAGCCCCAGGGCAGAGCCTGGGAGCCGCTCCCAGCCCCAGGGCAGAGCCTGGGAGCCGCTCCCAGCCCCAGGGCAGAGCCTGGGAGCCGCTCCCAGCCCCAGGGCAGAGCCTGGGAGCCGCTCCCAGCCCCAGGGCAGCGCCTGGGATACGATCCCAGGCCCAGGGCACAGCCTGGGAGCTGATCCGGGCTGGAGCAGCAGCTCGAGGAGCACACACAACTCTGAGGTTTGATCCTCCTGCAGTCCCAGCTCCGTGGACGCCTCCAGGGCTGGGGCAGAGGGCTCGGGGGCACCTCCCCAATCCCTGTGCACAACGATGTGAAACACTTGGGAATTAGACCTTTGGGTTAACTGTTTAATACACTTTGTGCACGTGTGCGTTCAGCAAAGAGGCAACTGTGAATTATAAGGCGGTTTTGAGATCGGCAGGGCCTGGGAAGAGCAAAACTTCCCAAGGGTGGGACCAGGCACCCCCTTTCCTGCTTCTCCTCGTCCCCACTGCAGACACAGAGCCCACGGAGAGCAGGGGAGCAGCCTCTTGTGCCCTCAGCTCACACAGGAGCTGCCAGCAAGAGCCAGTCCAGGAGCTTCCTCCTGCCTGGCGGGGGGAAGAGAATCAATCCAGCACTGGGAATGTTCTGGAATTCTCCCAGCTCTGCTGTCACTCCAGAGTGGAGTGCTTGTGATGGTGGAGGCGTGTCCCTTGTCCCTGTGCCTGGGCTCTGCTCTCCTGAGCCTGCCAGTGACCAGGTCCTTGAGTGAGAGGGACAATCAGCTGAGCCTCCATATTTTCAATATTCACACAGGCAGGGAGCTGGGCCCTTTGCTTCTTATGGATATCCATAGATAAAGTGTTGCCCTGCACATTTTTATATATCATATATATATATATATATATATATATATATATATATATATATAATCTTAAAAAAAACCCTCCAAAAACCTAAACTAGGAAATCTCACATCCCCAAGCGGGCTGTGTCCTGTCCTTCCCCACCTGTCCCAGGACAGGGAGAGTGGAATCTAAAGCAGCTCCAGGTCACCCTCCCTCACCCCAGCTGTGTGCCCTGCCCGGGGCTCAGTCAGTGCCCTGCTCAGTCCCGCTCTGCCCTGCTGCTCCTGTGCTCAGTTCTGCTGGGATTCCTGCAGGATCCGGGCTCTGTGAGGCCTTTCCCGGGCTCAGGGAATCTGCAGCTGCCTCGGAGCTGTCCCGGGGTGGCTCCTTCAGAGGCTCCAGCAGCTCTGTGTGGGCACACAGGTCCTGCACCTTCTTGTTGAGGTCGTTGCGCTCCGTCTGCAGCGCCCGGCACAGCTTCTCCAGGCGCTGGATCTTCACCTGCAGCCCCTCCAGCTCCTTGTCCCGCAGGGTTTTCTGCAGGGAAACAGGCACAAAGGGAGAGGTGAAACCCCAGGGGGACGTGAGAGAGCAGGGACAGCTTTGAAATGGAAGGAGGGCAGGGTTAGGTGGGATATTGGGATGAAATTCCTCCCTGGGAGGGTGCCCAGAGAAGCTGTGGCTGCCCCTGGATCCCTGGAAGTGTCCAAGGCCAGGCTTGGAGAAAGCTGGGATAGTGGAAGGTGTCTCTGCCCATGGCAGGGGGTGGAATGGGATGAACTTTAAGGTCCCTTCCAGCCCAAACCATTCCATGACTGATTCTTGGGAAGCCTGGAATCCAATCATGATGACTGTTCCCAGGGAAACCAAGGAAACCTTCAGCACCCAAAGCACCAAGGAGCTTCTTTTGCCCTCACAGAGCACCGAGGCAGGACCTGTCCTGTCCCCATGCCACCCTCCCCAGCTGCTCCAGAGGCTACCCTCACCTCCTCTGCCATCTCCAGGAGGGCCTTGTTGCTGCTCTCCCAGCGGGAGCGGTACATGGTGGTCTCCTTCTCCAGCTTCTTGATTTTCTTGGTCATCTACAGAAGCACAGAAAGGGCACAAATGGAGTCACAAAATGTCCTGAGCTGGAAGGGACCCACAGGGATCAAAAGCAATAAACTCCAGGGAGAACATTGCAATGTCACCCCAAGTTTTGGGTGTAGATCTAAAATTAACTGAAATTTGGAGCTGGGGCTCTTCCAGCTCTCAGCAGCACGGAGGAAAAAGCATCACCCACCTTCTCCATCTCCTGTTTGAACGTTGTGAACACTTCACTGCTTTTGGAAAGGGTGTTCTGGAACTCCTCAAACTTCTCTGTGTACAGAGCCAGCTGTGGGGAGAGACAGGGAGCTCATGGCTCCAGTGCCTGGGAAGGGAGAGCCCAGCCAAGGGCTGAGCTGCTGCCCTGGGACAAGGACAAACAGCAGGAGCTGCTGTGCCAAAGGCAAATTCTGTCCTAGGGAAACATCCTCAGAGCAGAGTGTTCCACAAACTCCTCCTGGCTGATCCCATGACTGCTCCCAGCACTGGGAAACGATCCCTGAACAAAGCCTCAGCTCACAAAACCAAACCCAGCAGGGATCCTGCCCCTCTGTTTTCCAGATTAAGGAACTTTGGGTTGTTCAGGGAGGGAGGGAAATCCCCAAACAAAACAAGCTGAGCAGGGAACTCACCTGCTGCTTGAGGTGGGTCTCCTGCTGCTTCATCAGCTCACACATCCTCTGAGACTCCACAGCTTCCTTCAAAAGCTGGGGAAGAGCAAAGCAGTTACCTGGGACTGCTCCTGGCCCAGCCCTGCTCAGGAGAGGCACAGGGAGCACAGCGGGGCTCCAGCCTGGCTGCTGGACATGC